CTTCAAACATATTATGCTTCTTTCCATATCAGGGTCTTGTATGTCATTACCTCTGTATCATTCTTCTCCTTCCTCTTCATTTTATACTACCAGTCCTTTCCAGTTTAGCTCACATACCACTTCACTGTGAAATTGTTCTCTTATATGCTCTCTCATTGCATCATATATTTCTCCTTTACTGTATTGATCACAATTGTAATGGTTGTTTCCCCTGCTATAATGCAAGCAGGAACTGTTGGTCATATTCATCCTCACTTCTCTGGTATCTAATGTTGCATTGTGTAAGTAATGCTCACTAAGTATTTGTTAAATGAATTAACTAACTTATTCTAATCCTGTTTTTGTTTTCATGATGAAAGTTTTCTTGTGTGTGTGTTTTGCTTTTTTGTTTTTGTCTTTAGATACATATGATTATTATAATGTATGTCTTAATTTGGGGTGATTTTGAAATCTCTGGAATTAATTATCAGTATTTAATGGGGAAGCTATGATAAATGTTTTTCATCATTTTATAAAATTCTAAATAGGTCTAATCTGTTCAAATATCACTGATTAACCAGTAACTTACATTTTTCTTAAGCTATTACATCTTTCATCAGGAACCTCATTTCATAATAAGATATATGTTGAATATACAAAATATTAGAGTTAAGTAAGTATAATAATTAAGTAGACACATGTCATATATGCATTTTTATAGGAATACTCATGACAGAAATAATATGGACATCCTCCTGGAATGGCAAGAAGTCCAGTTTAGCTTTTTGAAACTAAGATCACCAGAACTTAAAAACAAACAAAAACTGAATTTATTAACTTGCCAGGCAAGGCAATATACAGCCGTGAAGAATTCACTGACTAGTTTGCAGAGAGGGAAAATTCAGGAGTTTTAAAAAGTGTTAGGGAGATTTATAATGTTTATACTTATAAAAACTGAAAACTATCACACTGTATAGGACAGAATGAGTCCATATGTTTGTACGTGATTGATTAAAACAAGTCCCATTGTTCAACAGACCAAAAAGAGTCTTCAATTAGGTCCAGTTAATGGTATACTGGGGTCACTCAAAGTTTATGGTCAGTTCTCACATAAGCTGGTTAAAACTGATTTTGATGAAATACAACATTCAGTTTTAATATAATAAAGGCAAATGCTGCTATAAGAGGAAGATATTCCTTGTACTGCTTGAATGAATGAATAGAATTTGGATTGTCGTAACTAGGATAGGGAATATTTTTACTTCTATTTTTGGGGGGAGAAGGGGTAGAGGAAGAGGAAGAGAGAATCTTAAGCAGGCTCCATGCCCAGCATGGAGCCCAACATGGGGCTTGATCTCACGACCCTGAGATCATGACCTAAGCCAAAATCAAGAGTTGGACGCTTAACCAACTGAGCCACCCAAGTGCTCCTACTTCTATTTTGTAACCAGTTAGATTTATACTGTGTTTTTCTTTAAAACACCTCAAAAACACTTATTAAGATGGGGAAAGTTTTCTTATTTAGCTTTTGCTACATAACAAAATGCCTCAAAACTTGGTGGCCTAAATCAATAATAATTTATTTGCTCATGATTTTGTAGGTTGATAACTTTGGGCTGAGCTTATGGCTCATCTCTGCTCCACATGGTATCAATTGGACTCACTCATACATTGCAGTAAGATGTTGGCTGTTTACAAAAATAATGGAGGTAACTGGATCATCATCCCGCAGGCCCATTTCCAAGATGGTGGTGGAAGGGCTTCTAAGTTCAATAAAAAAGGGCTAGCCCCAATGTTCTAACATTTTTCTTTGTCTTTTCTTTTTTTTCCAGTTTTGTTGTGATATAATTGATAACATTTTTCAACTTTCTGCTTGCATCATGTTTGCTAATGGCCCATTAGCCAAAGCAAGTCACTTGGCCACAGTCAGACACAAAGGATGCAGAAATAGATTCTATCTCTTAATGGGAGAAGCTGCAAAATCACATTGCCTACAAATGGACATATGCACAGGAATGGAAAGAATTTGTGACCATTTTTGCATTTTACCACATTTTAAATGTGGATTTATACTTAGAATCTGTTTGTAGTTTATGTCTACCCTACATTATGCAAAGTTAAGAGTTTTGCATGCTATAAAGTTCTGTTGATTGATGTACATATATATCCTCATGAGATAATGCAGACCACAGAAGAGAAATTTTATTCATTCCCTGAATAATCAATTTAAAATCCATTTGGATTATATTTGGAGTCTCATGTACAGTGGCTCTGAAATACAAACGAGGTTTTGTTTCTTTATTAATAAGAGGGAGTAAGTGATGTCTGAGCAGATGTGGAGGATCTAGTGAAACACAGAGAGGGAGAAAAGTATTTTAGGCAGATGGAAACATGACAGAAACCCAGTTTTGTTCATCCATTTTTGTATTTCAGTGATTGGTACACATGAGAATTTGGAGACACCCAGTACTTACTATGCAATATTATTTACTTTTCTTGTTCTGCATTGGACCCTAAGCTTTATAATGGCAGCATCCATAGCAGGTGCCCAAGAAATGTTTGCATAACAAATGAATAAGTGACTGACTTAGTGAGTAAGTGAGTGTTTGAATGAATAATGAGAAAAGCCTAGAAGAAAGATACAAAGAATAGAAAGTCATGTAAGAATGAAGATAGAGGGCGCCTGGATGGCTGAGTCGGTTAAGCAGTCTGCCTTTGGCTCAGGTTGTGATCCCAGAGTCCTGGGATCTAGCCCACATTGGGCTCCCTGCTCAGCAAGGGGGTGGGGGTGGGTGTCTGCTTCTCCCTCTACCCATCCCCCTTGCTTGTGATCTCTGTCTCTCTCTCTCTCTCTCAGGTCTTGTGATCTCTGTCTCTCTCTCTCACTCTCTCAGGTAAATAAATAAAATCTTTAAAAAAGAAGAATGAAGATAGAAATTGGGGAGAATGCTGTATAGAGAGAGGAAAAAAGGGAAAGAAGGAGAGGAGGAGATAGGTAAAGCAACAGAAGTAGAAAGAGTGGTGGAAGGACCAGAGAGCCAGCAGAGAAGGGACTGGCGGAACTGAGATCAGTGGTGGAGGTTTGGCTGCTTCGCATTTGCATCAGAGAAACTTAGCACTTCCTTTAAAATCTTAATTAATCTTCCAGCAGCTCAGAAACAGGTCCTTCTGTACTATTAAGCCACTTGCCTATTTTTATTTTCAAGCTTCAAAGTTTATTTTTGAAGACCTATTTACCTCGAGAATTTTGAAGGCCTTATATGGGCATAATAAAGAAATGACAGATTTTGATTGATTCTTTTGGATTATTAGAGGTATCCAATTTGCTAGTCCTACCTGAAAAGTCTTTTGCATTTCTAAATCTGTCAGATCACCTTAGTTTTTTTCTTTGAAAGATGAAGACCTGCTTCAAACAAATTGTATTTGAAACCAGCAGCTATTTTGATTATTCTAAGTCATTTTGGTGTTTCAATCAAAACCAGTTCAGAGGTTTTGAAGTCCTAATAGGGATGATGAATATGGGAACAATTAAAATCATGATACTTTCTCCATTCCCAACGCGGGAGATGTAGCTCTATCTGAATATACGGATAACTACTATGCTTAGAGGCTGTCAAAGTGTTTGACTCTAGATATTTAAAGGAAATACATATTCCTAGACAGAAATCAGAAGTTTGATCTGAGGCATCAGAATTACCTAAAATGCTGGTTATAAATGCAGCTTCTAGGCTTCCACTCTAGACTTGGAATTAGAATCTTTCCAGATGATTTCTGTGTCCAGAGAATAGAGAGCCCCACCACTATAAGACTTTAGTGCATTCGGCTTTGCTTTTAGGTCTATGTGGCAGCTTTTAGGTTTATTTTTAGTACTTCTTACGTATGGTATTTTGTTGGGTAAAATAAGGCCCACCTCTATAAAAAGTCAAATAATACTAGATGACAGCCTATGATTTAGCCAAATTCAGTAAGTGCTTGGGGGAGGAAAGGTCACTTCAGGCCTAAATCAAGAAAAATCTCATGGGGGGCGCCTGGGTGGCTCACTTGGTTAAGAGTCTGCCCTCGGCCCAGGTCATGATCTCAGGGTCCTGGGATTGAACCTTGAATTAGGCTCTGTGCTCAGCAGGGAGTCTGCTTGTCCCTATCCCTCTCACTCTGTGCTCTCTCTCTCTCTCAAATAAATAAATAAAATCTTAAAAAAAAAAAAAAAGGAAGATTTCATGGTGTAAAGACAGGAACAAAGTTTATTTTTATTTTTTATTTTATTTTTAAGATTTATTTATTCATTTGAGAGAGAGAAAGGGAGAGAGCACAAGCAGGAGGGGAAGAGGTGAGGGAGAGAGAATCTTAAGCAGACTCCGCACTGATCATGGAGCTGCACGCAGGCCCAATCTCATG